CGTCTCCCCCTCTGGTTCTTTATCCCGTTCCCCCTCGATCTGTCTCCTTCTCTGGTTCTTTACCCTGTTACCCCATCGATCCGTCACCCCCTCTGGTTCTTTATCCCGTTCCCCCCTCGATCCGTCTCCCCCCTCTGGTTCTTTATTCCCGTTCCCCCTCGATCCGTTTCCCCCTCTGGTTCTTTACCCCGTTCCCCCTCGATCGTCTCCCCGTCTGGTCACTGACGCTCCTGCATCAAGAACCCTTCCTTCGGAAACGAGAGGAACCCCATTGGGCCTGGTGCCCTCTTTCTGTTGGAATTCCCCGACAGTTTCCCATGAGGTCCCCACGGGAAGCCCCTCGGCCAATCAGAGCCCGTCTCGGCTGCGGTGTAAATTGGTGTGCAGATGCGAAACGTGGCATTCTTGCGCGTGTGTTCTGATGATTGTCGAGATGGGTAACATGTGCCACTCGTCTCCGTTTTTGGCAAGGGTTGAGCTTGGCACCACCGTGCTGGGTTGTTTGGATACCACGCCCCCCGATCCTCTCCACCCAGCACCCCCCCCCACCCACAACCCCCAACCACTCTGAAGCCCCTCGCATTGTGCCCCTATACAATGTGGTTATAATAAATCCCCTGCCCCACTCTGCTCCCTCTCTACTGGCAGGTCGCACCCCGCCCCCCCGGCACTCCAGATGCCAGTCCTTTCCCCTCGTGCCCTCAGAGTCTTACAGCACGGAGACAGACCCTTCAGTCCAACCAGTCCATGCCGACTACAATCCTAAACTAAACTAGTCCCGCACTTGCCTGCTCCTGACCCATATCCCTTCAAAACTTTCCTATCCATATACTTATCCAAATGTCTTTTAAACGTTGTATCTGAACCCACATCCACCACTTCCTCTGGAAGTTCATCCCACACCAGGATCACTCCCTATGTTTAAAAAAAAATTGGCCCTCACGTCCTTTTTAAATCTTTCCCTTCTCACCTTAAAAAAAGTCTCCTGGTCTTGAAATCCCCAACCCTAGGGAAAAGACACCTGCCATTCACCCTATCCATGCTCCTCATGATTTTATAAACTTCTATAAGGTCACCCCTCAGCCTCCTACAATCCAGTGAAAATAGCCCCAGCCTCTCCTTAGAACTCAAACCTTCCATTCCAAGCAACATCCTGGTAAATCTCTCCCGAACCCTCTCCAGTTTAATAATACCCTTCCTATAACAGGGTGACCAGAACTGGACACAGTGCTCCAGAAGAGGCCTCACCAACATCCCTGTACAACCTCAACGTGACGTGCCCAACTCCTACACTCAAAGGGTCTGAGGACCCCATCCCTCCAGAAAGGACACACTCCGTGCTTTTTTCCCTAACAACACCCCCACCCTCTCCAAAGTGCCTCTCCACAGGATCAGCTGGGTATATTTTGCAAACTATAGTTCTTCCTTCCCTGCAATCTCTCTGTCTGTCTGTCTGTCTCTCTCTCTCCCCCTACCTCGTTCTCTCTTATCTATTTGTCTCACTCGATCTGTCTTCCCCCTTACTCTGTCTCTCTTTCTCTCTGCATCTCTTTTCTCCTCTGTCTCTCTCTCTCCTCCTCCTCCTTCTCCGTCTGTCTGTCTCTGTCTCTCTGTCTCTCATGTGTCACTTCCTGTTTGTGCATTTATCTCTCTTTGTTTCTCTCCCTGTTTCTGTCTCTCTCTCTCCCTCCCCCCCCACCTCCCTGTGTTCCCCCCTCTCCCACACACTATCCCACTATCTGTGTGTCTCCCTGTCCTGCTTTCTCTGCCCTATTACTGTCCCTCTTTCTGTATCTCTCTCTCGCTTTCTCTCTCTCTCCTCTCCGCACCTCCCCACAGACCCTCCCACTTTCTGTGTCTCCCTGTCCTGCTTTCTCTGCCTTATTACTGTTGCTCTTTCTGTATCTCTCTCTCTCTTTCTCTATCTCCCCTCCCCCCCCCACACAGACGCTCCCACTATCTGTGTGTCTCCCTGTCCTGCTTTCTTTGCTCTATTGCTGTGTCTCTCGCTCTCTCTCTCTCTGGATGTGTCTGTCTGCCAGCCTCTCTCACCTCTCTGTGTCCCTCTCTCTCTAGCGTTCTCCCAACACTCACTCTCTCTGTCTCTCTCTCTCTCTCTCTCTCTCTCTCTCTGTCTCCACACCTCCCTCTCGAATTTTGCTGACTCCCTCTTGCTGTCTGCCTCCCCTCTGCCCACAGATGGAGGAGCAGGCAAAGCGACAGAAGGCAGCCCGAGCGCAGAACTTGGTTCAGCGCCGTAGCCTGGAGGGTTTACAGCAGGATGCTCAGAAGAGGCAGCTTGACTTTGAGCAGATGGTGAGCCAAATCCGCGAGCGGGCAGCCGGGAATCGGGATCAATGCCGAGGCGGGGGAGTGGTGGGGGAACGAGAATGGAGTCACGTGGAGGCTCAGGGTGGGAGAAAGCTGCGAGGCTCCCTTTGGAAAGGACAAGGGACTGGGCTGAGATGGAGAGCCAACGTTGTGTGTGGTGAGTGGGGTTTAGAAATTGACAGTGGTACAGTACACAGGGCAAGCTGTGGGGAACGCAGTGAAAAGGACACAGAGTGGGGGGGGGGGG